TTGCCTGGGGGTCCCACTTCTTAAAGCTACCCAATTCCCAGGTCTTTTTGAACATTTTTCCTTCAATGAATTCTCTGCAGTCTATATCATTTTTTTGTGTATGGAGTGACATCAAGCCTCTTTTGCTTTCATTGCATTTTAAAATGTCATTATCTCTAACACTATAATTTTTTTTTTTCAGTAGCAAGGGTTCAACTTTAGAACTTTGTACCTCAGAGTAAGACTTCATACCTCACAGAGAAGAGATTTGTTTGCTGTTTTTTTATTGTTGTTGCTGCTGTTGTTTTGAGATAAAAATCTTAGTATGTAGACCAGACTGGCTTCAAACTTACTGTGTAGGTCAGACTGGCCTTTGATCTTGAATTCACAATCCTCTTGCCTTGACTTCTGTAGTACTGGGATTATAGTCATGGTTACCACACCCAGTGTCAAACAAAAAATCCTTGGTGGTGGGTAATGAAATACTTCAAAGTAAATTTGACATTTATGTTTGGCTTCCATCTATCTCATTTTAGAAAATTCCTATGCCATTTAAGAACTGTTTAAATCAGTATTGTATAGAGGACTGTATACTGACTGCCTGAGGCTATAAAGTAAGCTGTCTTTCCCCACATGTCAGATATTTTTATTTGATCAGTGACTATGCTCCAAGGGAAAGACTTCAGGTTTAAAAAAAAAAAAATCACAAAATTCAGTTTCTGTTTCTGTATTGGCACCTTCATGCATTAGTTACACTTTGTATTGGCACAACACAATACCTGACAATGATGGATGGTGGATTTATTTTTGTTCCTGATCTAAAATTTTTATTTATTTTTTATATGTATATGTGTTTTGTGCCTGTACATATGTATGTGCAGTGAGTGAATGCCTGCTGCACAAGGAGGTCAGAAAAGAGGATCATATCTCAAATTAGGGTATGGATTGTGAGCTTTTATGTGGGTGCTGAGAAGCAAACCTGGGTCTTCCATAAGAGCAACAGTTGCGTTTAAAAACTTTGCCATTTCTCAAGACTTTCGTTCTCTTTGCTTTAAAGTGTTTAAATCCATGGTTACTTGGCCTCACGCTTGAGCAGAACATTATGGTGGCAACAGTGTGTAGAAGAGGCATTTTTACCTGATGTGCACAGGAACAAGGGTGGAGCCAGGAGGAGACCAGGGGAAGACATGTCTTGTAAGGCAAACTCTCTATGACCTATACCTACTACCCTCCAATCAGACCCTAATTTATATGGCTCCATCACTTCCCAGTAGTCTATTAAATTTTGAATCCATTAATGAATTAAGCTATTGATTAGATCCGTGCCCCCTTATCTGTAAAATATTAATTACACCTATTCTGACTATGCTATAAGGATGTCAAGATAAATACATATAAAATGATGCATACAAATGGCTGTTCTTACTATTTGTCTGGTGTCCCGTAGAATAAGCCAAGGTTACTAGTTTGCTGGCCTAATAAAGTAAGCATATTAAAGAATAACTGTATATATTATCTAATATCAATAACATTTTATTTTAGAACTAGCTTCTGAAAACATTAACTTTTACTTCCAATAAATAATGTTAAATATATAAAATATATGTAGCTAACATGAAAAGATTTTAGCGAAACAGATCTGAATGTTTTAAAATTTCATATTTGTTGAATATTTATTATGTGTCAAAAATCATCCCAGGGCTATGAAAAAAAAAAAAAAAGATGTGCAGGATATTCACCTGTCATCAAGGAGTGAGAATCTATCCTCATGAAAGCCCATTGTATACACAAATTAATATAAAGATGTTTTGGTGAATTTTCTGAAGGACCAATTACGTAACCCAAGAGACTCATTCTAACAGGAATTGGAAGGTTTCAAGAGGAGATCATGTAACTGTTCTTTGAACTTCAAGGGAATGTCATTAAACTAGGATGAAAAGGAAGGTTTTTAAAGAGAGAGAGAAAAGACAAAAGCAAACCATTCCAATATCCAGGCATTTATTGTGTTGCATTTATGACTGTAGCACTTAGGGGGCCTTAAAGAAAGATCATCAACACATTAAAGCCAACTTGAGCTATATAGCAAAACTTCATTTTAGAAATAAAAATGATTAATAATGATTGTCAACTTGACAAGACTTAGAATCACCAAAGAGATAAGCCTCTTGAAATAACTCTGAGTGATTTTATTCTTTTGATTTGGTTATTTGAAATGGGAAGATTGACCATAAATATTCACAGTGCCGTCCAGTGGGAAGACCAAGAGACAAACTTCTGCTTTTTAATAGCCTGACTTCATGTCTTGTTGGCCAGATCATCTACTCTACTGCTATCACTGCCATTCTTTGACATCAGAACTCAGCTTCTATGAACTTTCAATACAGATGAAAGACCAGTGGCTCTCCAGGACTCCTCCAGGTCTTCAGCATCACATTGGGAGTATTAAAAGTATTTGGCCTCATCATGGTCTGAAAAAAGGGCTCTTGATCTCTCCGGTATGATAACAGCCATTTTTGGACTACCTATTAAAATTTAATAAATCCCCTTTTAATATAGTCATACTAGGTTCTATTTCTCTGACTAGATAGATAGACAGGTAGGTGGGTAGGTAGGTAGGTAGATAGATAGACAGACAGACAGATAGATAGATGATAGGTAGGTAGATAGATAGATAGACAGACAGACAGACAGGCAGGCAGACAAAAAGAATTACTACAGAAAGGAAAACACAGAAAGTACATTGTGGAAACATAAAGTAGGACTGACTTTCTTTGAACTTCAAGACATGAACTCCTTGACTTTACAGAGTGCTCCCAGAATACGAAATAATAAAAAATGTTTAGAGCAAAGCATCTCCATCCATTTTGTGCAGATGGGTGCAATACAAAACATGCAGGACTTGCTATTTATAAAGAATCTTGAACTTGGGTGAAAGTTCTGGTTGTAGATCAGATGTCTACATCTAGCGAGGGCCTCCTATGTCATAACATGAAAGGTAAGCTTACATATTTGACACATGTGCAAAGGTGGCATGAAAAATTCAGCAAAGCTATCAGGCTCAATTGATAACACTTAGAGTTCTAATATCTTTTACTTCTACTTATTAGTGTCCAAAAGTGTGTGTGTGTCAGTGGATTAGTACATGCCACAGTCACATGTGAGGTTGAAGAACACCTTGAGGGCAATTCTCACCTTTCAGTATGTGGGCTTGAGACATTGACCTAATGAACTCAGGTCATTAGGTTTGGTGTCAAGTGCCTTTACCCTCTGAGGCATCTTGCCGATGCAATAACTGGTTTGTAAAAGTAAACAGTAGTCCCAAGAGAGTCAGAGCCTCTGTGTGAACAGTAATTCATTTAAAGCATCTACCTACCACCCTCAAATAGCTTCAATCTTATGGTGGTTTGAATGAAAATGCCCTCCCCATAGGCCCATAAGGAGAAGCAATATTAGGAGATGTGGCCTTGTGGGAGGAAGTGTGTCAAAGCCCACTAAGGGTGGGCTTTGATGTTTGAGATGCTCAAGTCAAGCCCAGTGTCACTTTCTCTTCCTGCTGCCCAAGGATCCAAATGCAGAATTCTAAGTTACTTCTCCAGCATCATGACTGCCTGCACATTGCCATGATTCCCACCATGATGCCGATAGTCTAAACCTCTGAACTGTAAGTAAACTGCAATTAAATGTTTTCCTTTGTGAGAGTTGCAATGATCACGGTGTCACTTCACAGTAATAGAAACCCTAACAAAGACAGACCTCAACCACCTTGCATTGTGGAATAGGGCTGCCCTTGGGCTGAGTTTTAGAAAATTCAAGCCATCTTCCAAACAACTATAACAACAACAACAACAAAATGTCATTATTTATTGTACAGCTGATGAGAATGAGTTTTAGAGAAAATTAATGACAAGAATAAAGTTATTAATGAATAAGTTGTGGAGAACAGGAAATAATGAACAATATGAAACAATATGAAAAAGAAATTACAGAGTGCAAGGAAATTCAGAGATTACCGACAGTTTAATTATAGAGCACAAAAAGTGAACCAAAGTGTATGGTGATGAGGAGTTAGGGACTGTAACAGACTAGTGTGTGGCAGTGTTTGTCTTTCATGTAAAATTCATGGTGCGATTTAACTCCCAGTGTGGCCTTTGCAAAATGGGTCTACATGAACATGGTTATATATCCTTTATCCTGGGTTTTAATAGAGAGGATGTCTTAGGACGCAGGGCACAGCACCTCACTCTCCCGGAAGGGCTCATGCTACTCAAATCACCAGCTAGTAAACAAAACCAGATCTCACCAGACACCAAACTATTGCCACTGTGACCTTGAGGTTCTCAGCCTCCCGAATTATGGGAACTTGGTTACCCTGTAACCTTTAGAGAACTGTGGAACTAGCTGGACTTTGCCAACTTCTGACTCACAGAAACTTTCAAATAATAAATGATGTCATTCATTAGATAACAACAAACAATACAAAGGTGAAAGGGAAGAGGCTATTTCAGACTCTTCTCCCTCATAGCACAGAGATCAGAACTGAATTTGAGTTAACCAGAATACAGACTCCAGGCAGTCCTGAGTCTGAAGCAGACAACTAGAAACACTCATCACTCCACACTAGAAAGCCGTTAGACAAATCTGCACATTTACTTTTCCACTTTAACTGGCATATAGCGCTGAGCTTTTATAAAACCACAAACTGACACTGTTTTAAAGTGCTATATTTCAGCTCAAAAAGCGCTGGCTGAGTAGCTCAAACGTAGTTTCTAAGTCTTCAGATCCCTTTCCTGAGTTCTTACATTAAGCCTGGTTGTGTGGACGCCTTTCACTGTGCATTGGCTCCACCAAAGACCTGGGTGTGACCTGCTGCACCCGGGGGTGTGCTGGCCTTTAGGACTCCGGGGAGGAGTCAGCACCACGTGGGCGGGGCCTGGGAGGGGCTGGGCACGCGGGAGATTTGAACTTTCTTTCCGCTCAGTCTGTGTCCGCGGGAAAGTGCAGTTGTTTGATTGTTTTTCTGTTAGGCGTTGCACCTAGCAGGGGCTCCCCTCAGGCTAGAGAGATGGTGGAAGGGCCAGGCTGTAAACTGAATGGAGAGAAGATTCGGGCGCGTGTGCTGCCGGGACAGGCAGTGATTGGCTTGCGGGGAAGAGCTCTGCAGAGCCCTGTAGGCCCTGAGCAGTCCCCAGCAGCCTCCCTGGCTGGGGTCTCTTCCCAGGTGAGTCCGTCTGATGCGTGCGTGGAGCCTGCAGCGGGAACTGGAGTGAAAATACCACCAGGTTTCGGGGATCCGTGGCATATCTATCTACTTGGGTCAACGTGGCTTAGGGCCACTGTTTCCCAGTGTTTATGGCTCACTAAGAAGTGAGTCCTAGCCAAATGTGCCAGATCCTTGGAAGGTATTTTCTTACAACTCTGTAAGTCAGTTAGCAAACAATGTTTTCTAGTGTTTATAGTCTCACTGACAATGTTATCATTCTTGTGCAATGTCTGGTGTGTTTTTCTGTTCACATTGTAAGTCTGAACTTTTAACATAAAATTCTAGCCCTTCGCTTGCCTAAAACTCTGTGGTTGATAAGTAATATATAATTTTAAAGTTGCACATGGAAAATTTAGCACTAAATTCCCACTCAGCTGAATATTGCCATCTAATGAAGGGGCAGTAAAACCTAGTTCTGGTTTCCTTAAGTGAATTTATTTCTTTTTAAAGTAAATTGTAGCACAGCTTCTTGCCACTCAGGCATACATTGCAGATGGCTGGATAGTCATTTGGTAAGAACTTAGAACTATACTAAAAATATTCTGATTAAACTATCATGCTTTTAAAGCCCTCTAGATGTGTGGTTGATTGTATTTTATGGATACATGCAATATTGTGCTGTACTTCAATTTCTTTTGCAAAGCTTCCTCATAGCCTTTGGTCTAGGAAAGAAGTTGCCTGCTATGAAATTAGCATATGCTCCCAACTTGGAAAAAAAAAAGGAAAATGTATTTTGAAGCTGGGGTGGAAAAGTTTTGGATCTTTTAACAGTTGTGCTTCTATTTTATTTTGACTTGATATGTCAGCAAGTGCTCTGTATTTTTTTTTTTTTTTTGTAATTATCATGTTTCTTAAAATTATTTCAGAGCACTATAGAGATCTATGGTAATAGTTCTCTAAAGGATTAGTGTTGATGAAGATCACTCACTCAGTAAAATTTTGAATAGTCTCAAAGTACATGGGAGGGAAAATAAGTTTGTCCTTCTGGTTGGGGGAATGCATAGCTACTCAATAAAAGGTAACATAAAGAATTAGAAATTGATGTGTTTTCAGAGGAAGTATGTGGTTCTCCCTTAGATCAAACAAAGAGACCAGAGGAGTCTCCCTATTGAAGGAACAAAGCTGATATGTAAATGGGGGCGTAGGAGAACCCTGGGATGAAGATGGGCCATATGTGCAGAAAAATAGCATACAAGGGCCTGAAAGAAAACCTGTGTGTATGTAAAAGAATGAGAAGGTAGTTTGATATTCAGCTTGATAGGTAGATTAGCAAGAACTCCATATACCACAATTGGGACTTTGATTAGTTGAGCTGAATTTTATTTTTGTGTGTACTTGTTTGTATGGAAGTAGTTACATGTGTGCCACAGAGCATGTGGAAGCCAGGGAAACTTGCAGGGTTTTCTATCTAGTGTGGGTTCCAAAGACCAAACCAAACTCTCGGCCATAGTGAAAGGTGCCTTTACCTGCTAAGCAATCTCAAATGCTTCACATTCAAGACTTTTTCTTTATCTTAGGCATTGTGAGAAACTTTGAATTGTAGTAAGATTTATTTACAGTGTGGCTAGAACACAGTATATTGGAGAAGAAAATGCTAGAAGAAATCTCAAGTAGGCATTGAGTTGACCCAGGTGAGAATCTTGGGCTCAGCTGCTGGTGGTACAGATTAAGTGAAGAAAGCCAGTCAGTATTTTAGAAGTAAAGACTGTAGCACTTAGCAACACCTAAGATATGAGCATCCTATTGATACCATGATGGATGTCATTCAACAATAATATTTTGTGGAATACTCTTTGTTAGTTCCTGGTAAACTAAACCAGTTTTCTTTATTATAAAAATTATTGTTTATAAAAATAAGATTCCTGTAGCAAGAAACCAAGACTGTTTTAAATAATCACCTTACTGGTTTTTAGACAAAATAGCATTAACAATTCATTTTACGTTTATTTTGAGTATCTGTGACAAAAGTTAGTCATGAGGAAGAATAAATACTACAATAAAGATAAGCCTGGTGCTACAGAAAAGGAAATGGGAGCTGAAGGTGAGTTTAAATCAATTGAACACTGTCAGATGTTGTAAGGTGTGGGGCCAAGGTTTGAGCTCCCTCCAGACTCTGCAGCCAACACTGTTGTGTATGTTATAGCTACTCTCAGTAATCAAAGATCCAGTAATAGACTGGTTAATGCGGTGGCACACCATAAGGTCCTGTGCGTGATAGCGGTTTCTTATTAACTGAAGAAGTGTGACCTTGGGTTTTGGAGGTGTCCTCCACCATTTAAATTTTGTTCACCTCAGTCAATTATCTGCTCTGATAATTCTCTTCATTTCTGTGTTCAGATGGCACCAAAGAGTGCATCTTGATAACCTAATAGAAGTGCTTCCTTAATGGTTGAGCAATGATTAGAGTCATTTGGCAACACTACTCACTAAATAAATAGCCCTGCATTTAAAGCTATTATGGATAGTGCCTTAATAGAAAGAAGAGCCATATGATTAGAATGAAGGATCTGCTTCTATTGATACTGGATTGAAAATCAATATGGAATTAATAATGTGGCTTTCAGTGAAATCCTAAATACTCTGTTGTGACTTCATTTTCTGGGCCTTTGATCTAAAAAGCATAATAACAACCACTGTAAATATCAACAGTCTTTTGCACTTGAGAGGGATGTTGGATCTATACTAAATTTCATTAAAATATGGACCATTGTCACAAACTTCTGGCAAGATCATTATTGTAACAGATGATCCCCATTTCTTAGGCATATTCGCCAAAGAGCTAAAGCTATTTAATGTTTCTATGACTGGCTTGAAATGATTAGTTTTCTCAAAGCAGCATTTAAAAATAATTGCATATTGTATTCTTTACAGTGCCATAAATATGAAAAATAACAAAGGAGAGCTAAAGAAATATTAAGTGGCCACTTAATATAAAAGATTCAAACTTCAGATAATCATTATTCCAAAAACCAAACATAAAATTTCTTACCTCAGCAGCTACTGCCAGAGTGCACTACTTACTTTGTTTATCATATAGCATTTTTTGGTTATATTTTAAAGTCCATAGAAAAGCCACTAATTCCTCTCCCCATGTGACAACTGGTTCATATTATGAAGAAGGCTTGCTGTAGAAGATCTTGTCATCTGCTAGTCATCCACACACTGCATCACTTCTCTAAGTTGTGATCCACTCTCTTGTCAGCTTAAAATCAAGCAACTGGGTTGCACATTGTATCAATCTCTGCTGGAGTTTGTGGAACCTTATGGTAAGATACAATATCAGAATGTAAATGAACATGTCTAGCTAATGAGCCTTAACGAGTCCATCCTCCAATTTTAATTGTTGGGTGGATATGGTATTTTAGTGAAATCAGTGTGTAATCTGCATGTGTTTTTAATCTCCTTTCACAAAAAATGAAACAGTCTATTTATAAGCATTCATGGTTTTGAAGCACGCACTGGTTACTCTGATGATTCTTTAAGATTTCATACATGTATTTAGTGTCACCTACATTTAGTTATCTATATGATACTTTAGATCTTCATGAACAGACTAGGCATTTAAATATGAGTTGGATGGATAGAGAAAAGCAAAGCTTTGGATAATGTAAAATAGCTAAGTATTTTTTAAGAGTCTATCTGGAGTGTCTTATTATGACTACTTCAACCTTTAGTTGTACGTGTCATTTGGAGACATGGACTACATCAAAGTACAGAAGCCCTGCAGTAAAAGTTTCAAAGCAGAAACTTGTTCAAAGTAGGAAAAAAATTCTAGGTGTTTCTCTTGCCTTTTATTTGAAAGAATGAGCTAATTAAATAGCCAAAAGGGTTTTCTATATATTTTATATAGCATGCATAGTGTGTGTCTTGTCTTTTAAATGGATACTTATAATAATGACTTTTCCAGACACTCAAGGTCATTATTATTAACACCCACATGGACTTGGGAAATGAAGGGTAATGAAGTAGATTCTAATTTTTCTGCAGGTTCTGAGTTGTCCTGTTGCTGTTGTAGCTTTGATCCAACACTGTTCCAGATGCTGTTAAGAACATCTGGCCATTGTTACTTTTGTTACATTCTCTTCTGGAGATGTTTATGGTCACATCAAGTTAGAGGACCTAAAACCTCTTAGCTTAGAAATTAGCAAAATAAACTTCCCTGTGATTGCTTCCCTTTTTCCTGGAGCATAGCTTTCTCTGTGGACCCAATTATGTTAGAACATGCTAGAACACCCTCTCTTTCATGAAGAGTGTGATCCCTTGATATCATAAGATGAGGTACAGAGTATTTGGACTACACAAAACTCCTAAAGGCTATAGAACACATTATCATGTATGGTCCTAAATATATTATTTTGGATTTTAGGAATCATTTTTGAAATTAGGGGTTTTGAGGGTTTAGATTGATAGACAAGTGACCTATAATTTTAAAAAAAGTATATTACTGAGACTCTGAAAGTTTGACATTTTCTCTGACAACAATGTGCAATTGAATGAGAGTCAAAACATTAGTCTAGGAAAAAGTCTTATTCTGTTCTTCAAAGTTCATATTCCTGGTTCACCCACGAATAGGCAAGATAAATGGTAATCAGCACAATAAATCATGTGCTGTCTCTGAAAATATATGTTGTTTTCAAGATTTCATATTATTAAGCCACTTGAAAATGGGAAGGTGAACCCTACTCAATCATACTTAAAATTGTGGCAAAGGAGATTTTCATCTCTATTTCAGACAAAGAAAGAAAAGGTTCAAATGTTCAAATAACACAGTAACAGGATTATAAGGGTCAACATGAGAAAGTCAAGTACATATTGGGCAATTGTGTATAGTTATAGCAAAGATAATAGCCTTCTGGAAATTAATTTTTTGAATTTGTCTGGGCAGTAGAAGCTTATGGAAAGAGGTGATAACCTTAGATTCCACAATAGGACAAGCGAGTATCTTGTAAATATCTTAG